TAAGTTCTTTTTTTTTTCTTTTCTGTTGCTTGCTAGAAAGTTGCAAAATCCTTTCTAAATCCTTTGTAAAGACCTAAAACAATCAAATGGGAAAAAAGAGTGAACAGCGTTTATACACAGAAGCTGATGTAGTCCCCTTACAGTCACTGAATTCTCCTTCCTGCATCAATCTAAACTTGGGGGTATCTACATCTCTGTAAGACCCAAGGAGCCATTATCAGCAGTTGAAAACAGTGCAACAATCATATTTACTGGGTGCTGTCTAAACACATGGATCAAAAAAACCCCCAGTTTTTTGTAGGTACACATATTTTTGGCAATTTTCATTTTGGCACACATTCTATGGTATGAGAAGTCGGGAGTAATTTTGCTGGCTTCCACTTCAGCAGATTAACTCGGATCTGGAATTGCGTTTCTGAGAACAGAATTTGTCCTCTTGGTAAAAAGAGACAGTAAGCCTCTTGCGGGGATTGTGCAGCGGAGACCCCAGGGATGAAGAGACTCAGCTGGACCCAGCCATATGAAAGAAACTGTGGACTCCCTTGAGCATTTCCAAACTACACCTTGCTGAAGGCTTAGTCACCCCTGCTGGGGGTTGCCATCTACGAAAGACAAATCGCTTTCACCTATTACCGAGGTCTCAAGAGCTGTTATAAATGGCATGCAACTGAATTCACAAGCAAACTAAAACCAGTTACAATTTAGTTCAGAGCCCGATGAATTTAGTATGCTGAAGATGCATTGACAATAAACAACACTTGAGGAAAATTCATCAGGAACATTGTGCGTAATTAGAATAATTTTTCTTTTTTTAAATGGAAGGTGTTTTTTAAACGAGCACAGCAGTTTTAACGTTGCTACCCGACGTTATTTTAACGTATGGAATAACACTTGCCCATTTCATTTTATTTTCAAACATGATTTATGAGAGATTCCGGTGTGTTTCACGCTAAAACTGCAACTGAAGAAAACGCCAGGAAAATCCTCCTCCTCCCTCCGTAGCGGCTGCTGCACAAAACAGAAAACAAGACCCTCGGTGAGACGCCCGAGGTATTTACAAGTGCAGAGGGGGGCGTTGCAGCCCCCCTCCCTCTCCGGGCAAGCCAGGCACGGGCACCGCGGCGGACC